TAACTAAGAATGATCATAATCAGAGCCGTGTTTACAGGTACCCCTCTTTTCGCCCCTTTTCAATTTTTGATATGTTAATCAAAAATTGAAAAAATCAAACTTTCAAAAAGCGAAATAATCAAAACTGCACGTTAAGTTTAGTACTTTTAAAGTTTGATCAAATATCTAAACTATCAAATTTAAAAACGATGTTTAGAATTTTAAAATTTTAATTATTTGGTGAAAATTTAAAAATTTCAAAACTTTTAAATAATTTGGAATTTTGATATTTTAAAACTTTGATCAACATTCCAAAAATCTAAAATTTGAAAACTTTTTAAAACTTTGAATAGATAAGTGTTACACGGACCACTTACCACTCATTTAAAAAAATGTAAGACCAAAAAATAAGGAATCATACCGTCTTTTACATAGATGTCTGTTTCCGTTGATTCCGTTTAATACCAATTCCTCAGAGCAATTGTATGGTACTTTGCGGAACGGAACGGAGCGGAATAACAAATTTAGAAAGTTAAAATCAGAATCAATATTTCTAATCATCTTCGGAAGGACGACGGGAGGTCTTGTATTCTTTGATATAATGTCGAATGAAAGGAGTAATACTTTCTGTTTGTCTTGCCTATTTCATATATATAATTTGGTGATCCGGTTTTTGAATGAGATGTAAGACCAAAAAAAAAATGAATCATACCGTCTTTTACATAGATATCTGTTTCCGTTGATTCCGTTAAATACCAATTCCTCACAGCAATTGGTACTTTGCGGAACGGAACGGAACGGAATAACAAATTTAAAAAGTTAAAATCAGAATCAATGCTTCTAATCATCGCCGGAAAGGACGACGGGGGGTCTGTCTTCTTAGATATCATAATGAATGAGAGGAGTAAGACTTTTTTTCTCTGACCTACCAATGCGTCAAATTCATGATAATTTACCAGGACATGAATGTACATCTACAGGATATTTCCCGATGTTATACATTATTACACATTTTACATATGAAGATGAGATTTAGTATACAATTGTGTTATCTGTATATTGAAAACTGTAAACAGCGAAATTTAAAGTTTGTTTTGTTTTAAAGATTTTTCGAAATCTTGATAGATGCCCCCTTGGGATACCTTAATTGAAATTTCGTTCCGTTCCATTCCGTTCCGTTCCGTAAAGTACCAATCGCTTGTATTTACCACGTCATCGGATAGTTTAACTTTCTGAGGACAATCCCGTTCCTTTATGTCAAGGGAATTATACTTGTTATAGAAATTACTAATGTTGCAACTTGTACAGTCAATTAAGTCTTCTGGTGTGTCTGTAGAGAATCTTGCATTTCTTACAGGGATCTGTTGAATCACTCTGCAATCCCATGTATTTACCTTCATAAGGCGTTATCCTAAATTTCTGAGTTCGATTTTTTAGCATAGCTTATTGATCACCTTGTATTTAAAACTTATCGGATTTCCCCGAAGACATTTTCCAAATACTATTAAATTGGCGCCGTTAATTTTATTAATGAGTGTGTCTTTGAAAATTTTGATAACGTCATCAATGATTATACAACAGATTTTGATTTTGCCATTTGATAAGGGACTTTCCGTTTTGAATTTTCCTTGGGGTTCGGTATTTTTGATATTTTACTTTTTTCATACATGAGCATTTAAGGAAGAATGAAAAGCAGTCAGCATTATCCTTTAACTATAGATGAAGTCCTCTCACTGAATATTTCAAAGTTTGGTGACCATATCGAACGCATCTATCCCTCGAACTGGCAAATAAGGATAAAACAAATACAAGTCTACCTCATATCTCGACTTACATCTAGAAATTGACAAAATGAGAGTCGATTCAGATCAACACTTTACGACAAAATAGATGTTTTCAGCTTTCAAATTGTACACTTTCAATTTCTATTGATACGATATTCCAGAGCTTGTATTTCCTACCTTGATGTCCTTGATAGAGGGTTGCTGCTTAGTGAAGCTATTAAACCAAGAGTTCCAAGTAATGAAGTTAAATTCATCTCTTTTTTAATTTTACGGATGCTACACGAGTTGGTTGACCATTATGGAATATCTGTTTCGAAGTTACATTTAATAGTGTTGAATTATATTGATTCAACTGTGAATTCCATGATAAGTCTGAAGACAAACCCAGACAAGAAATCAGAGCTATCCATGAGGTAGATACATTCAATTTTATAACAGAAATTTTATAAGAAATTCATACCAGTACCAAAGTAACACATGCACTTTACAAACTAAAATCCCAGATAACACTTTTTTGTTGTTAAATTATTGGCTGTTCAATTTTGTCAAAATAAAAATTTTACTGGTGTATTATTGGCTTGAAAGTCATTAATCCAACCTCATTTGAATTCGTATTCATCCGACCTTCAATTTAATCCTTAGCTGAAGATGTTTGGGCATGAGCGCAGCATGCTCAGTTATTAAAAAACAAAAGAATGTCACAATACAAAAATGAAACAAGGAATCAAATAAGATAAACCAAATTCGTTGACTGTTTCGGAAAACAAAACAAAACATTCTTATACAGGTAAACAGATGCGGATCAAGGATTTTGAAAAAGGGGAAATGGGGGCATCGCCCGCCCGCTTAAATCCGTCTCCTAAAAAAAACGATTTTACCTTTTTCCTAGTTAGGATATGAAATTAAACAGACCAAAAAAAAAATGTAATACGATTGCACATGCTAAGCGGTCTATTTATATTTGTTAATTTCTGGTCATACGATTTTTAGGTTTTCTTCGGGAGAGCATCTCGATGGTATATTAGATGGCGTTTGGTCGTCAAAGCGCACAAAATGCTAAAATATTATAACGAGTTCATACATTGATAATTCTCATATGATTTGCATATTAGAGAATACGTTGATATGATTGGTTGAGAGGACTTCCGGTAGTTGTTCTTGACGTTGTTTATTTTTCGATAGACGACGTTGACCGAACTTCTTTTCGTAACCAATGTAAACAAGATGGCGGCGATAATGACACAATCCGGCTCGCCGTTAACAAAATTTATTTTCAATTCGCGTTAATAGGTCTTAATAGTTCAATTAAATAATAAACACAAAACATTCGTTTGAATGATAATAAGAGTTTTTGTAGTTAATTTTTTATCAGATTGCAAATTTCATGGAGTACATATTTTTGCGTTAACCAACAAATATATTTATGCGCCAGGCCTATTCAATGACACAAATATACAATTTACGTGTGATAGAGGTTATGAGTGTGGAAAAATAAATTCCTTATCTCCAATTTTAAAGAATTATAAGGATTAAACGCCTTTTTAAAGGAATTTATTGGTGTATAAACTGTACCAAGTCACTCACAAACATATCATAAAAGTCCTTCGGACTTTTATTTGTTTGTGAGTGAATTGGTCGAGTTTATACACCAATAAATTCCTTTAAAAAGGCGTTTAATCCTATATTAACGGTTTCTTTTTGACCTTTCATAATTTAGATATACGTTTTAGTATGTTATAAGTCAAATATGAGAATTTGATTCAATTCTGTGAACATGAATATGACAGCTAATGCCCCTTTAAAATTTTAACAGATATTGAAATTTATTTTCAAATGACAGTGATTAAAGATTGGTATTACGTTCATACCACATACCGGTATTCTTTTATTTCTTTAACATATTCCTATTGTAAGGCTTTTTTTCTAAACAAAAGCAGGTTGTTGTTCTCTCTGACCCACAACCTGAAGAATGTGGATACATTTATTTTCGTTGGTATCTACTTTAGTAGTTGAAGAAATTAAATAATCGTGGAAATACAAATTTTTAGTCACTTTGATAGAAACACATGATAAACCTCATTAGAGCATTCTTTAACCAACAGCCAAACTTGATACCAACGAAATTAAAGAATCCACATTCTTTAGTTTGTGGGTCAGGAGCCTATAATTCACTGGTTGTCGTTTGTTGCTGTCTGTCAGATTTTTTTTGTTAATTGTCTTGTCTTGAATCTAGCAGTTGGTTTTCGTGTTTGAATTGTTTCATATTTTCCTATGTTAGGCTATTTAAAGCTGACTTGACAGTCTGTGTAATTTTACAGTGTTTTTTTTCTATATTTGCTAACTTCCATATCATTTGGAGTTGATAGTTGTCTCATTGGTATTCCTACCACATTTTCAGACATGTAATGCTTATATATGCAAAGAGACACATTTGATCATGGATCATCACTTTTCCCTGCAATTACGATGAAAATTGCATCCAAATGTTGTGTTTTTTTCTGAATCACCTTGATAACCAAGTTTTTGGGGCTATAATACAACATTCAGTCTCATAGATGATGCAAGCTGTGGTAAATACAACCACTCACATTGATTTTTCAATATTTTTTTAATTTTATACTGTGCACTGTTAAATTTAATTGATTGGTGTTTGATGGCAATGGCAAATTTAACATGCGTATCAGTCAATATAGTCAAGAACATGTTGATTTGATATGATAATGAAAGTAGACTGATATGCTGAGCCAGGTTTTTATTGTGTTACTTCACAATTTAAAATTCCTTTAGAGACACCTCCACCGACCAAGTGCCCTGACATACTATTCAGACTATGAGCAAACTTATCTTTGCTCTTACTCCTTATTAATGGGAGCAAAGGGAAAAAGCAGCAAATACAAATGTTCAAGTCTTTGGTTTGACATGGCTGAGAATCCAATCCGTACTCAGGGGTCACACTACAGTGAGACCAGTGATGAAGTTCTTATACGAGCTACATAGTATAGAAACTCAACCTTATGCGAGTGCACGTATACATGTGCATGTTTAAGAATTTGATTGATTTTGGAACATTCACATACTAATTTAAAGATTATTTCAAATCAATTTTCAAACTGTTACAGAATTTGTAAACCTGATATAAGTTAACAGATGTATTGATATTCATTTGCATAAGGTGGATTTCTATCTTGTCTCCATTCAATAATTATTGGTTTTACCAAAGAAGACCCAAGACCCATATATCTATACACACATTTATTTACTTATTAAGTTAATTAACAATTTCCTAGTCACTCAGATGGTATTTGTATAAACCGTTTTTTTTAATGGGTTCTGTTTCTGCACAGTCCTAGTGATGATCTCCTGCTGGAGTAATTGCATATTTGATGCCAGCAAAAATTACAGCTGCTCCCAAAGCATAGGGTACATTTCTAAAATAGTCCTTTTTAATTTGTTGTGACCTTGACTATATCATTCTCTGGCATATATCTCCATGCTTCATTTCTGAAAAAATAAAAAAAAAACAAAAATTAGCATAGGGCTACAAGTTTCTATTATTTCAAAATATGTATAAATACATGTTACTTATTCGTACAAATAGTTTTCTGTTTTTTTCTTGATAAACTAAAAATGTTTGGCAGATTTGTTGTCTGTTGTCCTGCACACACTCTTTTTTCCCTTATTTTTTTAAGGGTGAGGCAGGCTCAATGAATTAAAAGAATCCTTATAATTAAGATAAATCAGAAAATCACATCATGTTTTAATGCCGTGCTCCAGCTAGAAATCAGAAGGGGCAGGGTGCCAGTGGAGGGCAGGGCACATTTTTATGAAAGGAAAAGGCACTGCTCATTTCTTTTGTCTACATTTCTGTGTGTATCACGAGTTCACATTCTTTTTTTTACTGTATATGTGTTAATAAAGATGCATAAGTTGTTGTTCTGATTATTTATTCTATAAAATTTGTATTAGAAAATGTAATTCATACGACATGTTCATAAAAACATGTCAATACACATTCATACATCACATCACTCTAAACCAATAGAGGCAAATTATTTTACTACCCCCCCCCCCCTTTTCCAAAATAAAACAACATAAACTAAACATCTCATAGTTTAGCATACATGTGACAGAGTTGTCTTATTCAAAATTTTCAGGTAGAGGTTGGCCCTCAAAACTTTTTTTCATTGTTTGTGTTAAGGAATTATTTAGTAAAGCTTCATCAAGTTGATGTCATGATAGTTTAACTTCACACTACCCATTTATGTAGGATTGCAGCTTAACATCATCTAAACAATTACCCTAACAAATTTCTTATTTAACAGTATAGAACATGGATTGCTAAAAGTATGATTATCAAAAATAAATTGCAATATATTTTTTTGGTATGTTCAAAGACAGTTAATATCCTTTACATGCTTAAGGTAACATTCTCACTGTGTATCATCGCCACCCGGAAATTGGGTACTAACGAAGCGGAGAGAAATGGAAAAAAAAGTAAACAAGGTAAGAATTCATTCAATTTAAAGCATTTCTACTGATTTGACGAGGGTACCCCTTAAGAAATGATTTTCTGATATATAATTCTTTAAATTATTAGGCAGATAAGTACAAAATTAAGAAAAGATTTTGTGTTATACTCCAAAGCTTGCCACTTAGTACCTGAAAATTTCGAGGTCAGTTGTCCTCTGTCGCCTCATTGGCAAGATATTCAACTGTTTTTCATTATTTTTCCAGACACGTTTTAAGATTATGACATTAAATGTAACCATGATTACAAGTCAACTTAAAAATATCTACTGAAACATGATTGAGTTAAAGCAAATAATGACATGTGTTTAGTTTTTTACTTCTGTATTATACAATATTACTTTGATTCACAAGTTGAAGAAGCTGACCAACAGAATTATCAACAACATAAATACATCCCGAAAGATGAAATTATTTAATATTTGATTCATATATGTTAAGGGAGCTACCTTTTGATTTTTTAAGGGGGCTAGGATGAAATTTGAAAAAATAAGGCAGGGCAGGAGTTTTGAGTAAAAAAAAGGCAGGATGGGCAACTTGGCAAAAAAAAGGCAGGATGATAATTTATGTAAAAAAAGTCAGGATAAACTAATAAAAAAGGGAGGACCGAATAGAGAGGAAAATAAAAAGGCAGGACAGAGGATTTCAACTAAAAAAAATGCAGAACCAAATTTTTCATCCTAGCCCAACCCCCCCCCCCCCCCCCCCCCCTCCAATAAAAAGTAAATGGTAGCTCCCTAAACAATAATGTTTTCCATACAAACATTATAAGTGTTCCAGCTAAGATTCATGGGCAGAATTTTAAGATGAAGAGCACATTATGCTATTTTTTATCAGAAGGACAAACTCGATCATATTTATAAGGACAGAGGGGAGATGAGCCCCTTTATTTTGGGATAGCTATATGTTTACGATCGCAAGCTCTTCTAATTAAACCGAATTGTTAAAGGGCCGTCGTAATCTGATGGTATCAGGGGGATTACATGAAAAGGTCTAATTTGCTGGACGGAAAGACGATAATTAGTGACAACGGCGAAAAATAGTGACGGACAGCTAATTTGGAATACGAAAGCTAATAGAGATGCATAAAGTCTATAAACTAGCTGTTTTCACTTAAATTAGATTTCCGCCCGGTGTTCTCAACAATATGTGGGCTTATTCGACTTATGGTTTTTCTAGTGCTAGGACAGTTCAATATCAAAGAGGCCCCTCATGGGGGTGTCCAAGTAAACACATAATCACAATTTTTTTTGCCAATATAATCACATAATCATTAAAAAAAAATTTCAACAAGATAATCAAATAATAAAAAATACAGTCCTAGATTATCAAATAATCAAATCCATTTGTAATAAATATTTGGTCTGGTAATCATATAATCACTATAAAAATGGCCAAATAATCACACAATCAAAAACCCCATGAGGAGGCTCATCAAAGATAACAATAAATCAAAGTGCTTGTGAGCTCTGTAAGGTAAAGTAGTTATCAAAGGTACCAGGATAATAATTTAATACGCCAGACGCGCGTTTCGTCTACATAAGACTCATCAGTGACGCTCAGATCAAAATAGATAATAAGCCAAAATACTGCAATATTAATTGGAACAGAACTTAAAATTTAAACATTGCATTAAAATAAGAATTGATAGGCAATATTTTGAATTGGAGACATAATTGCAGTTGGTTCAACTACAATCAATGACAAAGGAAGATAACTCCAATTTTGAATATTCCTTTAATAATGACATGTCAGAATGATAATTAATATTTTTATAACAGATAATACATGGTAGATTTATACACTATGCACAATTTATGTAATTTTCCATTAAAACAATAAATGGTGTTTTTTACACTAAATTCATTTATGTGCAATGTTGTTTTTTGTGATTAACAGATGAAGAATGGGCTATCAATGTCTTCTCTAGCTATTAATCCTTGTTAATATTAATACTTTTGGTGTACCAGCCAGAAGTGTTTTTTTCAGAAAAAGCAATTGGGGTCTGCATATTATTTTTTTTTCTGTTTGGTTATTGAGTTTATTTCAGATTAAATCTGTTAAATGTAGGTCACCACTTGGCCTTCGACAATGAGGAAAACCCATACCACATACATGACATAGTAAGCTATAAAAGGCCCCGAAATGAAAAAGGTAAAACAATTCAAACAAGAAAACTAACAGCCTGAGGCCATAAAAAAGAATACATCTTTGTTTGCCCTAACCCTACATGATTATGTATACGTACCTACCCAGAAAATATCTGCCTACTCAAAATCTATTGTCCTAATGTGAATTTTTTTTTTTTTATCAGATAGGCATGAAGACTTAAAAAACATCTGACACTTTAATTTCTTTTTGCCATAAAAAAAAGAAAATGACTACATACCTACCCACTGTCTCTGCTTTGGGTAGGGTTTGGGCAAACCAAAGTATTTTTGATTGTGTAAACATTTTATTACAAAAAGAAATCAAAATAGTAATCTATTATGATTAAATGTACTAGTCAAAGACCAGTTACTGTAAAACATTCATACTGTCATACATGAAGTTTTTCTGAAATAATTTTTTAACACGAACAGACTTTGGGTAAATATTCTTTTAAATAGAAAACTAGAGACTCCAAAGAGCCTGTGTCCCTCACCTAGGTCTATGGGCATTTTCAACCATGTTGACCTACATGTATTTAAAGCTCTTTTCTTTTCTTACTGATCATTTTTGTTATTTAAAGTGTCTATGAATTTCTATCTATTATAGTTTTCAAGATACATGTACATGATATATGCAAAAACACTAAAAACTGGTAAAAATTGTCATTAAAGAGCAATAACTCCAATAATGAGTTGACTGACTATTTCAGCCCTGTTGACTTAGTTGTAGATCTTGTCTTGCTGATCAGTTTTTTCCATCTACCTATCTATTATAGTTTTCAAGATAATAGAAAAAAACACTATAAATATTCGTAATAAACATCATTAAAATGCAATAACTCCAAATACACGTTGGCTGAAGAATTTGTCCATAAGGTAATTTGTGGATGTTGTCTTGTTGATCATTTTTGCTGTTTAAAATTTCTAGATATTAGACAAAAACATCATTACAGGGCACTTAGTATTAAAGTATATTTTTTGTAGTTGTCTGAATTTCGGCCATGTTGACTTATTTGTAGATCTTGTCTTGCTGATAATTTTTTTTTAAGAAGAAATATAAAACTAGATACTCTAATGATGATTGCATTAAGTTGTGTCAAGTTTGACCTTAGGATCAGGAATAGTATGTTTAAAATTTTCATTATCCACCTCCCACTAGAAATCAAATCTGAGACGCTCCCTAACCTTACAAGAATCGTTTATATATATTATTGTGATAATCTGCAGTTATAAGTTTCTGGTAGTAAAAATTACTGTTTTATTTAGGAAAATAAAGATGTATTTCCGTCATTTTTCCTTTCCTTTTGCAAAACTTACCTGATCCATGGATCTTTTAAACCTTGTTTAGCTAATTTAGCTTGATATTCCTGTAAAAATGGGAACATTTCAACTGCTGGCCCATATTTTTTTCCAATTGGGCACGACAAATCTTAATTCGTCTCCCCCCCATTTTTTTGTGTTCATCTGGTTACTTGGTAATGCAATTGAGTGATAGTTTAAACGAAGATGAATTCGCACCGGCAACCAGTGCATTTGACCTTCGAAGGTCGATGTTGTGATTGTATTCAACAGCATGTGTCAATGACCGGATCTTGGTCTGATCTTGGACATAATATGATTTGTTAGTATACTATTCCCAGGTCTGATCCTTCAATTAAAATCTGACTCTTAAGTGAAAGTGTCAAGAAAAAGCATTTTAATCAATTACAAAAGAATGCTTTAATATTAAGAGATTAGTTGACCGTATTACATTTTATTGCAGATGTCATATATATCAAAAAAGAAAAAGGTCACAAAGAAATCTGAAGTTATTCCCCTTTGTCCAATTTACAATGTGCTAGAATAGAATATATAGAATATTTTTATTTCCAAAATTACAGAGCCTATGAAGGGCATAAAGATCAGTTACAATTGATTTACATAATTGATAATTTCAACAATAAAATCCATATAACAGAATAAACTAGGTAAACATATGAATACATTTTCCTGTCTCTTCTCCGCTTTTTTTTATCTTTAAAACTAATAAGTGATCAATAGATTTGCCAGATTTTGCTTTAGATTTATCAAAACAGTATGATTTCTCACGTATCAGTGTGCCCACAGCAGGCCTGGGGTAATGGTAATTTGTAATTGTAATGCATTGTAATATTACATTTTTTGATGTAATTGCAAAGTAATTTGTAATGCACATTTTCTGCATTACAATTACACGTAATGTAATGATTACTTTAGTTAAAAATCAATGTAATGCCTCCATTCCTGTTATTACTTTTCATTACAAATTGGTAAAATACATAAAATTGAAGAATATAGTAAAATAAAAAGAAAATATTAACAAAAACAAAAGAAAATATTGAATAAAATTATTGTCACAGTTAATTACTGTATTAAATCATTATAAATAGGTTTGCCCCTTAAAAAGTCTTCTAAAAATAATTATTAACAAAACTATATCAGTATATATAGATGAATGGACAAAATATGTTTTTTTAAATGTTTTTATATTGAAAAAGTAATGTGTAATGTAATGCATTACACAGGCAAAGTAATTGTAATGTAATGCATTACATGTGAGAAAAAATGTAATTGTAATGAAGAATCACAAAGTAATTGTAATGTAATGCATTGCATTGCAATGTAATGGCCCAGCCTGGCCCACAGACACATAATATATGTATTATATGTCTCTGGTGTGCCGCTGCAGTCTCACGTACTCGGAATTCCGCATTTTCAAGAATTTGATCTAATCTTATTAAACCATTCAAATCTATTGAGATTCACTTACTTGTGGAAGCTATATTGTGAAATCACAGATTTCATGTGTATATACAGTGGAGTAAGAATGTATTGCTAAAGAAATAAATTGTCAAAACTAAAACTATGAATGGAAGTCCAGAAAAGGAAACGACTTAAAACAAAAGTATGGAGACGGAATGACAGTCTGATTTCGCCCTGTTAAAGAATTTCCTAGATGTAGAGCACACTTTTCTGCTCATACAGGACAAAATTACACGAGTTTAGGGATTTGTGCAACAATACTGATAAAAGATAATCATGTCCGAATGCGAGATGAAAAAATATCGGTATAGGACAAATATTTCGGCTGCACGACAAATGACCATGCTTCGTCAGTGCGTTTCTATTTTTTAAAATGCAATAATACAACTTATGAAGTCTCGTTTGTGTGTAATATATAATTGCAGAAGGATTACACGTGTAGCTATTTACAAAGTTCGGGGTCAATTCTTGCCTCAAAAACCCGTGGTAACTTGTATTTTAGTAAAAACTGGAAGACTTTTAAAAGAAAATGAACTCGATGTGACATAGAGTTCTTTAAGATTTTAAAAACGTTACCATTTTACAACAATTTGGAATATTTTTAAACATTTAACTCAGGTTTGATTAAGGGTGTCTTCAGATGCCAAATTATCATAGTAGATAGATAGACACTGTTGAACAGCAAAAATGATTGGCGAGAACATATAAAATTTGAATTGCTTATTTTGATTTTGGATATATATATGTCTGTACTTTTTTAAACTCTGTTGATATTAATACAAGAAGATCATTGTGTATCATCACCACCGGATATAGGTACCCTTAGTCTGTTTCTCTGTTCATTGTCTAAGAAAAACCAACATTACTGTACAAATACCAGCGTATAGCAGCTACCTGGCAGTGGCGGATCCAGGGGGGGGGGGGGGGGGGGGGGGGGGGGTGTCCGGGGGTTGGCACCCCCCTTTTTTTGGACGATCAATGCATTTGAATGGGGGACATATAGTTGGAACGCCCCCCCCCCCCCTTTTATCCTGGGTTAGGAACCCCCCTTTTATAAATGGCTGGATCCGCCCTGCCTGGGTACCTATATGTTGGTATATATGTACAGTAATGTAGTTTTTCTTAGGGAGCTACCATTTGATTTTTATGGGGGCTTAGGATGAAAAATTTTGTCCCGCATTTTTTGGTTGTAATCTCTGTCCTGCCTTTTTATTTTTCACTCTACTCGGTCCTGCCTTTTTTTTATTAGTTTATCCTGACTTTTTTGACATAAATTGTCACCCTGCATAATTTTTTTGCAAAGTTGCTCATCCTGCCTTTTTTTTTACTCAAAACTCCTGTCCTGCCTTTTTTCAAATTTCATCCTAGCCCCCCATAAAAATCAAATGGTAGATCCCTTAGACAATGAACAGAGAACCAGGTCAAGGGTACCTATATTCGGTGGTGATGATACACAGTGAAGATGTGAGGTATACACCAACGAGACAACATGCAATCAACGATACAAAAACAAACAAAAATCAAAAGACACTTGGAGATTACGGTCTTTAGAAATGGACAGGTCAAAGTTCTTTATATCAAGCTCTAAATCTTCCCTCGTCTTAAAAGTTTTATGTTTGTGTACAGTTCCGATTTGATGAATTAAGGCCTTTCAAACAATTTGTTCTTATGTTGTATTGTCATACAGCTTTTCCAGGTAGATGTGTGTGTGTGTGTGTTGGGAGGGGGGTGGTCTCTCACAGACATGTTTACTCGCAGCTATATGTGCATAAGGTCCTAAGTCAGAAGCCAATAATTTAGTGGTTGGAGGTGGTAGCAGCCTGCAATAAATGCTTTTTATTACTGTTATCATTTTTGAATTGTTGCATGATTAGTCGTCCCGGAATGGGTTTTGATCATTGTTGAAGACCGTACGATGACCATAAATTGTTCGCATCTTCCATTTGATATTTAATGGATACTTGTACTATTGGCAAAAATACAACATCTCTTATAATATTGTAATATTCAAATTCCAGTAGTTTTAACAGCTTTTTGATTTTCAATCTAGCGGTGAGTTAAACAAAAACAAGAGTAATTGGTCACATGTCTTTCATAAAAACAATCGCAGACATAAATAATTGGACATACAAATAAGTTAGCATCAGCTAAACAGCGTTTAAAAGTAAAATAGAAAGTTTATTGTCTAATAACAGACCCGTGCTATGTATTTTATACTGCTGCAAGAACACGTCCTGTTGTCTTCATCTACCAAATATGGTAACAATGTGCTGTTTTGTGCAGTGTCAATTTCATGTCACGTCACTTTTCTTCACGATCTGAGGTTCGTTTAGGGATGGAAAATAAGTTTTATTGTTTGTGTTAACATTTATATTAACATAATTATAGCAATCAAATGGTAGCTCCCTTAGGATACTCTGAAATTAAAAAAAAAACATTTGAATGGTGTGATATAACTTTATTAATTTACCTCCTGATTGCATTTATTTTACAACGATGTATTGCGCAGAATTGGGGGTTGTTACATGTCTCCGAAATAAAGAATGTAGACTCAGCTTTTCATATTTCCATTGCAATAGCTTCTATAAAAGGCGGAGCCTGTTGTTCAGTGGTTGTCGTTTGTTGATAAGTGTTTCTCGTTTCTCGTTTTTTTATATAGATTAGACCGTTGGTTTTCCAGTTTGAATGGTTTTACACTAGTAATTTTTGGTGTCCTTTATAGCTTGCTGTGCGGTGCATGTGAGCCAAGGCTCTGTGTTGAAGGCCGTACTTTGACCTATAATTGTTTACTTTTTATACATTGTGACTTGGATGGAGAGTTGTCTCATTGGCACCCATACCACATCTTATTTATATGGCTCAAAGTTAATAAAGAATTTTAATATGTACACTAGCTGTTTTGCCATCTCGATGCAGTTTTGTTCCGTAATATATTCTGATCACTTCACCCCTGAATGCTTTGAAGCGGTACACCAACAGAGAGAGATATTTAATATAAGAATCTGGTATCCATAAACTGAATTTCAAGCAATGTCTAAAGTATGTCTTGTTATATTCTTTAAAAGACATTGTGATTGCACGACATCAATTTTATCCTCTAAATCCTGATCCTGATTGAACTTTTGCGCGCTAAATATAAAAAGCCACGTGTTTGACAATTAACAGATTCTACTACTTTAAAGGGAATTAATGTCCAAATTCCTCTCATCTAAACATGGCCTTTTGGTTCCGAAGAAAGTTGATAAAACAGTTAGATCACATATAAACTAGTCTAGAACATACACTGTATAAAAATAAAGAGATGTGGTATGATTGCCAATGAGACAACTATCCAATAAAGATAAAATGAAGTGGATGTAAGCAAGTATAGTCGGCTATAACTGTGCATGTATTAAAATCACATAAATGTAGCAATGATACCACCTATTTGTTGTGCAGTTTTTTTTCTGGGTGGGTTGACCGTATAAGGGGATGGGTAGGTATTGTTGTTGTTTTCAGGATGGATTGACCGTATTAGGGGGTGGGTAGGTATTGTTGTTGTTTTTAGGATGGATGGACCGTATTAGGGGATGGGTAGGTATTGTTGTTGTTTTCAGGATGGATTGACCATATTAGGGATGGGTAGGTATTGTTGTTGTTTTCAGGATGGATTGACCGTATGAGGGGATGGGTAGGTATTGTTGTTGTTTTCAGGATGGATTGACCGTATTAGGGGATGGGTAGATATTGTTGTTATTTTCGGGATGGATTAACCGTATTAGGGGATGGGTAGATATTGTTGTTATTTTCGGGATGGATTGACCGTATTAGGGGATGGGTAGATATTGTTGTTATTTTCGGGATGGATTTACCGTATTAGGGGATGGGTAGGTATTGTTGTTATTTTCGTGATGGATTGACCGTATTAGGGGATGGGTAGGTATTGTTGTTATTTTCGGGATGGTTTGACCGTATTAGGGGATGGGTAGGTATTGTTGTTGTTTTCAGGATGGATTGACCGTATTAGGCATTGGTAGGTATTGTTGTTGTTTTTGGGAAAGACTGACCGTATGAGGGGATGGGTAGGTATTTTTGTTGTTTTTGGGATGGATTGACCGTATTAGGGGATGGGTAGGTATTGTTGTTTTCAGGATGGATTGACCGTATTAGGGGATGGGTAGATATTGTTGTTATTTTCGGGATGGATTGACCGTATTAGGGGATGGGTAGATATTGTTGTTATTTTCGGGATGGATTGACCGTATTAGGGGATGGGTAGATATTGTTGTTATTTTCGGGATGGATTGACCGTATTAGGGGATGGGTAGGTATTATTGTTATTTTCGTGATGGATTGACCGTATTAGGGGATGTGTAGGTATTGTTGTTATTTTCGGGATGGATTGACCGTATTAGGGGATGGGTAGGTATTGTTGTTGTTATCAGGATGGATTGACCGTATTAGGCATTGGTAGGTATTAACACTGGACACTTTTAATTTGCAAAACACTCATTTGCAAATCCGCCGCCGCCTCTCCTTGGACCTACAGTGTCGTGTAAATAACCAAAATGTGCGGAATAACATGGGATTCAATAACTTCATTGCTTTTCTGCTGTTATTATTATAAATATTTTGTAATTTGATTTACAAAAACATGGGATTTTCAATATCCCATGGGATACGGCAAATCCCATGGGATTGACCATTATCCCATAGGATTTTTTTGGGTCCCATGGGATAATTGTAGTCCCATGGGATATTTGTTGTCCCATGGGACAAAAAAAATTCCATGGGACTATAATTATCCCATTTATATTGTTCTATAACTGTTCAAAACTAAACTTTTAAACAACAAAGCAGATAATGTAAGTATCAATATTTGTTTATTTATGAATTCTAGAATACTTTTTTGAAACACAATTTTTTCCCATTTGAAATCAATGAAAACTCTTTTAATAGGCTTAACATACTAGTAGCTTTTTACATAAATCTATTTTTTTTTCAGGATATCCCTCCACCCAAAAAATTAATAGTTTCTCATCATCCAGCATTGTGTGGTCGTAATGTATAGTCCACTTTTTTGCCATTCAGCACAGAACATTGTCATTATTGTGGTTTTAATATCTTTAGATATTTAATAGAACTTCAATTCATTGGCTGAGTGATGAAAATAATAACTGATCTGACTTTTGTCTTTGAATTTATTTTGGTCTTGTTTCTGTGTTTTCTCCTTTTATTCTCAGTGATGAATTTCAATCCTTCTGAAAAAGAACCAATAAAATCCGAAGTTATGGATAATAAAAAATTTTTTGCATACATGTAGCAAGAACATATGATTTTCAATAAAAATAGCTATGGATTTTACTGATTGTTGAAGTTTGTCCAGTGTCATCAGTTGCTAACCTCCTACATCCTTTGGTCTCTGATGGAGAGTTGTCAAATTAGCAATATACCACATCTTCCTATTCTAATATTATATAACAATCAATTTATGTATTCTTCTTTATAACATTTGGGTATTTTCCCAAGTTATATATATATAGATCAATGTTAAAACTTTAGGCAATTACAATAAAATTCCATTTTTCACAAGAATTTGCAATATATTATACAGAAAGCCAACAATAGAAACAGCACTTCTTTAAGCTTCTGAAGTTCTGAAAGAGTTCCACTTGTGTTTTATTTCAATTAGAAAATACATTGAACTCTTTGGACATGTTGGAAATTATAACATTGATACAAAAAATTATATTGTTTTTTTTTCTTATTTTTGTGTTGTTCGGTTGCTGTCTCATTTTTATATATGGTTATACATATATCCTAAATCTTCTTTTTTATATACTTAATCATTAATACACAATGTAGTAAAAATGGGATATTTTTTATTTTGATAATCTCAAAACATTATTATTCTATCAAATAACTTATTTCAAAGGTCACAAAACACCAATGTGTCGAATATTAATTTTAAGACATGTATAAACATGATCAACAAGCAGTTGACAGGATGTCATGCAAAAATCTCACTAATATTAAACTTTCACAAAAACTCCATACTCAGCGAGTACTATTAAAGTTCTTAGTACAGGACAAATTCCTAGTACAGGACACAATGCCTGGCAAACACTAGCATGTGTCAATGTCTAGTCAATCATGTAATCAGGCTCAAAATCTTAGTTTGGCACTGCACTGAATTTAAAAATTCACCACATAATGAACATGTGTATGAAATTCAATTTCAACAACTATGTACCTTAACCTAAAACTTTAACCTAAGAATGTACTATAATTTCACATTATGACATTTCTATGTTCAGTGATCCATAAAATCAGAGTAAAAACAGTAAATGTGGTGTTTAATGTATACACAAGAGTGCACACGCTGAAATGTTGCGCCTTCTTTACTAATCATTGATATCATGTTGATAGTCCTAAATATAAAGCTTTACTACAACTATCACTGAGTGATAAACTCAACATGATCCAAGAAAATGAATTCAAGGTCATATAAACCTGACAAGAAATATATGTACACCTTACAATCATTCAAATTACTAAATACAGTTGACCTACGGGTATTGCTTATAGTTTCTAAGAAGCAGACTTAACCAAGAAAACTAAACATTGACCAATGAACCATGGAAATGAGGTGAAGATCAGATGAACCATGCCAGGCAAACATGTACAGCTTACAATCCTTCCATACAACACATATAGTTGACCTATTGCTTATACATTAAGAAAAACAGACCAAAACACAAAAACGTAACACTGAGCAATGAACCGTGAAAATAAGGTCAAGGTCAAATTAAACCTGCGGGACTGACATGTACATCATAAAATGTTTCCATACACCAAATATAGTTGACCTATTGCATTTAGTATTAGAAAAAAAGACCAAAACTCAAAAATTTAACTTTGACTACTGAACCATGAAAATGAGGTCATGGTCAGATGACACCTGCCAGCTAGACATGTACACCTTACAATCATTCCATACACCAAATATAGTAGACCTATTGCATACAGTATAAGAAAAACAGACCAAAACACAAAAACTTAACTATAACCACTGAACCATGAAAATGAGGTCAAGGTCAGATGACACCTGCCAGTTGGTCATGTACACCTTACAGTCCTTCCATACACCGAATATACTAGACCTATTGCTTATAGTATCTGAGATATGGACTTGACCACCAAAACTTAACCTTAAATATAAAAAAGAAGATGTGGTATGATTGCCAATGAGACAACAACTCTCCACAAGAGACCAAATGACACAGAAATTAACAACTATAGGTCACCGTACGGCCTTTAACAATGAGCAAAGCCCATACCGCACAGTCAGCTATAAAAGGCCCCGAAATGACAATGTAAAACAATTCAAACGAAAAACTAACGGCCTAATTTATGTACAAAAAATGAACGAAAAACAAATATGTAACACATAAACAAACAACAACCACTGAATTACAGGCTCCTGACTTGGGACAGGCACATACATACAGAATGTGGCGGGGTTAAACATGTTAGCGGGATCCAAACCCTCCCCCTAACCTGGGACAGTGGTGTAACAGTACAACATAAGAACGAACAATAATAAAATGCTCCGCTGGGGCTCAGCTTGATACGACCGCAGAGGTTGAACCCTGAACAGTTGGGGCAAGTATGGACACAACATTCAAGCTTGATACAGCTCTGAATTTGGATTGTGATTAAATATTTGACACAGCATAGGTTTCTGACACAGAATGAATGTGGTCTAAGAACTTAAAAAATTTTAATTTACCTATTCAAACCATATCATTATTATTTGCTTTTATATATAAATCAGAAATAACCAATTTAAAATGGAAAATTTTAAAGACAAAAAAGGAAACCCCCCCCCCCCCCTAAATTTTTTGAACCCCCTTATGATTCATCACCCCAAAACTCAATAACAGCCTTCCCTTTGTGGTATGGTACCTTGCAGTACAATTTCAGAGAGATTCATACACTTGAACACAAGTTATTGTCTGGAAACTAGAAAAATGCTTGTTTTTTTGTCCCTTTTTGGCCCCAAATTCCTAAACGTTTACGGCAATTATCCCCAAACTCAAACCTAGCTTTCCCTTTGTGATATGGAACCTTGTAGTACAATTTCATAAAGATCCATACACTTGCACACAAGTTATTGTCCTGAAACTAGAAAAATGCTTGTTTTTTGCCCCATTTTGGCCCCTAATTCCTAAAATTTTTAGGCAATTACCCCCAAAATCAATCCCAGCCTTCCCTTAGAGGTATGGTTCCTTGCAGTACAATTTCAGAGAGATCCATACACTTGAACACAAGTTATTGTCTGGAAACTAGAAAAATGCTTATTTTTGGCCCCTTTTTGGACCCTTTTTCCTTAACGTTTTGGGCAATTACCCCCAAACTCAATTCCAGCTTTTTCTTTGTGATATGGAACCTTGTAGTACAATTTCAGAAAGATCCATACACTTACACACAAGTTATTGTCATGAAACTAGAAAAATGCTTGTTTTTTGCCCCTTTTTTGGCCCCTAATTCCTAAAATTTTGAGGCAATTACCCCCCAAAATCAATCCCAGCATTCCGTTTGTGATATGGAACCTTGTGGTACAATGTCAGAGAGATCCATACACTAACACACAAGTTATGTTTTGAAGTTACAAAAATGCTTATTTTTGGCCCCTTTTTGGCCCCTAATTCCTTAGCTGTTGGTACCATAACCCCCAAAATCAATCCCAACCTTTCTTTTGTGGTATTGAACCTTATGGTAAAATTTCATAGAGATCCATTAACTTAAACTAAAGTTAGAGTGCGAAAACCAATGTGTCTTCGGACGACGACAACGCGAACGTCATACCAATATACGGCGCTGCGGTCGTATAAAAATCAGTTGAAAGAGGCTTAACTCATCAGATGGATAAAAATACAAATACTACAAATACAAGTGGACGTGGCCGGGTACTTGTACATCCAAACAACAAAAAGACACTAAGTACAGATCTGAGAGTACTCGCAGTTACTGACAGCTAGTACAAAGCCACTAACAACTAATAAAAAAAATCATGCATCTAAGACTAAGTTCTTGTTCACTGATCCATGAAATGAGGTCTAGGTCAAGTGAAAACTCTCTGACGAGCATGAGGACCTTGCAAGGTACGCACATACCAAATATAGTTATCCTATTACTCATAATATGAGAGAAATTAACATTACAAAAAATCTGAACTTTTTTTTCAAGTAGTCACTGAACCATGAAAATGAGGTCAAGGACAATGGACATGTTTCAGACAGAATTAGTATCATGAGGCATCTATATACAAAGTATGAAGCATCCAGGTCTTCCACCTTCTAAAATATAAAGCTTTTAGGAAGTTAGCTAACGCCCACGGGGGGGGTCTCAACATGGGATTTTGGGTACAGTTGTGCAGCTGGAATTTAAAAAACACCCCCCATTCATATATTGAATAATTGTGGAATCCCTACCTATACATATATTTCACAGCGAAATCATAACCCATGAAGTGAAGATCGTTGCACAATTAACAAACTGAAAAATTATGACCCATTGATATATTTCCTCGGTAAAATTGCACCCCATTGATATATTTGATGCATCAAAAAAGGGACCCATTCCAGCGGCACATATGTATATACCTTTATATAGGAAGAGACCCCCCCCCCCCCGTGCTAACGCCACCGTCGTAGCCGCCACCGGATCACTATCCCTATGTCGAGCTTTCTGCGACAAAAGTTGCAGGCTCGACAAAAATACATGAACATTTTAAAGTACTAAATTTTGAGTATATACATGTAAAACCACAAGTTACTAACTGAAGTTCATGGTGAAATGTAACCAAAAACTTTAAGTGAATACAATTTAGAGAAAGACAGATGGATGCACAAACACTATCATAACAGAGCATAAAACTTACCAAACAAGATGTTTTACATTTATCCTTCAGAAGCAGGAAAACTGAAGTGTTTCTTTTCTTTCTCTGCCCTCCATGATATAAACTTCAAATTCATTCATGCAAAATATGAAAATCTGCAAAAGTAGGACCTTGTACCGCAGCTTATCCACATTTTGACTTTTGAACTGCATTGTTCTTTTCATCTTGCTGGCAACCTAAACATAAAAAAAAATGATAAACACATAATTCTAGATTAACTTTGTGTATTTATTTTTGTTGGTACAAACAATTTTTTCCAATTTTAAACTAAATCTGCCTCTGCTTTAACAAAAACAACTGAAAACCATGTATTTATCTTAATTGAAAACAATTTCTTGAGATTTCTCATTTGTATCACCCTGTTATTATATATAAATTTTATTTTTGTCCCTTTTTCATGTTTTTAAAAATAGGAATGGTTTAAATTCCTCAATAATCATGATAATTCTAGTCAGTCAATTAAAAATGTATGAATAAATTATTTAACCTGTATACTATTAATATCAATATATTTCATTTTTGATAAAAACTAGGCTCTATGTTGAATACCATACCTTGACCTATAATGGTTTACTTTTAAAAATTGTGTGACTTGGATGGAGAGTTGTCTCATTGGCACTCATACCACATCTTCCTATATCTACAAACAGATTCTATGGGCGAGCAGACATTATACCCTGGAGGTGGTTTTAAAAAAAGCATACAACTTAGATGTACCATAGGCATGGAAAAACAATTCAGCAGTCAGTTTCACAAAAAAACTTACAAATAATATTGATAGTAATTAAGTCATGTACAATACAGTATACTTACGATAAATTGTAAGTTGTTTTTTTTGTAAAACCGACTCAAGTATACTTATAATCAATCTTAGTCGTAAGTATTAAGTATTATTCATCTTTTGGATAATTTGTTGGTTTATTTTATGAATATACAGTGGCAGATCAAAACTTTTCATAAGGGAGGGCCGGCTCCAGTCATGCTGCTGTCATCCCTATATAATCAACCAAATTTTTCCCAAGAAACCCCCCCCCCCCCCCCCGGATCAGCCTATGATATATGTTTATATATCTCTCTGATATGCCATTTCAAATCAAATGTGTATTAAATAAAACTTTACACTAGAAAAGTAATGGATAGTTACTCATTTGGGAAACTTACAAGTTCACAGCATGCCGGTGCCTGTGACTGTGTTCAAAGTGGTGGGATTTCACCCTCGTTGTATTGCGGAATAACGATTTAGGCAAATTGAGAAAAACATCATGTCTGTGGTTGATAATAGTGTGTGTGCATTAATTTAATTTTCTATACCTTCTTATTTAATATTTTTCCAATTTTGAGTAGTACTGACGGCAAGTGTTGTAACCAATGTCTTGAGACCAATGTGCTATTTACAAGTGCGATCGAGAAATGCAGGGGAAAGAAACTTATCAATTATGTTTATTCTAATTAAGACAAAACTGAGCCGCCGTAAAAATGAACCGTGTTGAGGAGGTTACTGACACGTAATAGGGCAGAGACACATTTACACATATGTGTATATATGTCTCTGTAATAGGGTCATCCCTCGAGAACATTAACTAGTACATTGATAGTTTACTATGCAGTCAGTATCCCGAAAAAAAAACCGTATGGATGCAAAACGCTTAGTGGTTTCGGCTGACTACTTATACGTGCACTTTGTCTAAAAAATATCCCGGCAGCGTTAAAGTTGAAGTCAGGATCTTTGGGGGGGGGGGGTCTTCTTTTTCTGTGTTCTTTATTTTTTTTTTGCTATATTTCTACAAACTTACACTTTTTGCGGCTCTTTCCTCATATTTTAGCATTTCATTATTCTTTAATCTTTATTGTTTACCCGTTATTCTCTATTCTGTTAACCCCCATCCATACCCTGTTATGTGGACTTAAGCTTTCGGTAGTTTATTTTATCCTATTTCTGTCTAAATACATTATTTATCACAAAACAAAAACTTACTTAATATTTATTTATGAAGTCCTCACCAGTTGCGGATCCAAAAAATGTCATAAGGAGGCACTAACTGTCATGCATAAAGAGGGGGCCCGCTTCAGTGATTCTCTAAATAATCAACCAATTTTTTTCCAAAAAAGGGGCGGGCCCCCATGCCCTCACCTTAATCCACCTCTAAACCCTTCCCACTTCGTATCCTTGAATTCAGATTCAAGATCTCTCTGACTAAAGTAAGTAAGTAAGTCACATTTGCTTATATCAGGTTTTTGAATTAAACTGGCGGATAGTTGTTTCATTACCAATCGTACCAGATCTCCTTATTTATATATATACGAAAGCTTTATTCATATTTTTTGGTGTATTGATGAATGTGTAAAGATGCAGTAATTGTAATACATTTTAAAATACAGCACAAGAGATGCAGATTATATAAAACCAATCTCACTATACAAATCCTCGATAAAACTTATAAGTCGAAGACATACTGACAAACTCCATGGCAAAAACTTAAAAACGACCAAATGAGGCACAACAGTCTATAAAACTTGACTATAGCATTTAAAACACAAAAGAAGCACCCAGACAGTCAAACAGAAATTAAAAGAATAAATAATTTGTAAAGATTTTCAACTAGGCCTACAGCTATATTTTCTTATCGTGTAACAGTAGGCTAAACATAGGTTCTGGTATTATGTGATAAGTCATTTTTTCATGCAGACCCAGTTTCATTGATACCTTGAACTTAAAGTGGTTTTATGCATATCAGCCCAGATTATGTGTGTAATTTTATTGAACAATTCAACAATACACGTTCTAAACAGGTTAAATTCAATTTAAAAATTTACAAATTCAGATCTACTGGCATTCAACACCCAATTACTTACTTGCTGTATATTGCTAACTTTGATTGTATATTGTCAATCCCTCCACATCGTGAATACGCCATGCGAGGTGTTGGATAAGTTTGATACAGGGTGGCGGCTTCGAAGCGTAGAAAAAAATCCAGGTAAATGAAAATGTAAAATTTTGAAAATTTTTAGTACTAAATTCCTAAATTTGTACTTAACTCCGTTCTATGGGTAACATGGTTGTTTGATATGAATATAGGATAAAAAGCATCCGGAAAAATTAATTATCACGTTATAAGTATTCGTAAATGGATATGAAAAAACTTAACAAGGAATAAGTATTGGTAAACGGACAGAAAGTCGCAGGACAAAGGTTTAAATTAATTATTTTACAATTGTTTAAATATATGAGAGAAAGTTCTTGACGAATTGACTTTATTTATTGATAAATGTATTTAGTTGAGGAAATGATTAATTCGCCTTCAAATATTTTTTTTTTATCAATAACTTATAAAAAGGAGACATTTTTGACAGCATGACTTCAGTTAATTACCAAACCACTTTGGCAGATTGTTTTCTTAACAATCATTGTTCATATTAATATTCAAAAATAAATTTTGTTTACAAGTCTGTTTCCTTTTAAAAATGTTTCAGAAAAATACTGAAACGTTTTTAAAATTAAGTTTATTCAAAGAAAAAAATATCCCAAAACTGAATCGTGACTTTTTACTTGTTACTTTTTGTTGTACGTTCTAAGTGTCAATCCTAGCAAACACAAATTTGGAAATAAAATCGATTACAATGTAATTTTATAGAAGGAAAAAGGGGGGGGTTAATGAACAAATTATTACTATACACTCACATACTTCTAAAAAGATTTGCATATGTAAGCTGTCTATAGATAATGTTAAATTATTTCAGGAGTTTCAATTAATTTAGGAGAAAAAAAAAGATTATAAACAGTTTAGTTTTCAACGCCTACTACTACAAAAAATAGTGATTCTTTTTGTAGATTTGGTACTTCAGTTTCGACTCAAAATTTCCTATTGTAATTGTTAGATGCCAAATATTTAGAAGATTGTTTTTGTACTTTATGTAATTGTGGTGATATTGGCGACGCGATTCATTATATTATAGCAAGGATTTGTAAAAATCCTTGATTATAGAATGTTCGGCAATAGACGAAAGTAGACAAACCCTATTTAAACGGGGATTTGGTCTCCAAGGACGCCACATTTTACATCGAATAAGATCTATATTTGTTAACGTTTTCAAATGAAATAACTTGAATTGAAAATTTCCCGACTATGTGAAGATTTCTTATATTTCTAAATGGCTTCAATTATTACATACAAAACGAAAAATTTATTTAACTTTTTTTGTAAAAACAATATTCATGTATTTTTATAATTTTTCCAAGGAAACGTTTTTTTTTTGTTTGTTTGCAAAGTTTACTTGTATGTGTTTATAACCATCACCAATCAGTCCTAATTATTAAAGATCAAACGTCGTAATCAAAATGATGATTGGTATTGAATATGATCATCGGTCATGCATGACGTATCCCAAATAACTCCTTTAATGTTGGTTTGATTTTATCAAAACCAATATTATAAGATCAAATATTAAATTATCTTTCGAATGTATACCCTCAACGCTCACTTAGTGACACTAAAACATATATACATGTCCTGAGTGACTTTTTATGTCCTGTCTGCAGTCAGGAGGTCCTGAGCAGTTTTTAGACGTACCGTTAATTTATAGGCATATATTTGAAGCTGTTCTTTATTATGTACATTATCTTTAGGTATACATGTATCAGACAAAAATGAACTTAGTTCTAGTTATCTTAGTTCCTAGTCACAGGCACTTGTTTTAGAAAAAAAATTTCCTATATACTTTTAATGTTATATTAAGCAGGGACTTTCTATACTAAGTTATTGTAGGGTTTGTACATGTAAAGTGAACTTATGTTTACTCAATGCGTAGTTACATAAGTTTATTTGCTACTTTTTTCTTCTTTATTTTATATAAATGATTTTTTTTTTAATTTTAACATTTTTTTCTTCGAAAGAATTGTAGTGTTGGAATAGGGAATGGACACAGATACTTAACTACATTTAACGAAAAAAAATTTGTGTAATGTCATCAATCTGTATTACACATAGACAGGATGTTCTCTAGAAAACTATGATATTTCTAATACGTTATACACACCCCAGGGTACACGCACTGTCGTAATGGAAAATTACTGCATGCTTTAATTACCTGTAATCAGCCATGCAACAAATCAGTTGACTGACCATGTCATTACAGTTTAAAAAGTTTTTCCTCAGATCAAAACGGAATATTCATTTTAACTTTAAAACTTAAAACTTTAAAAAGTATACTTTGATATAATTATGACGTAATAGAATTTAACAGTTTAATAATCGGATTTTTCCAAAGATTAAGATACAATTATATTTATTATTCTGGGACTGACAGATATATCACAGGCACTTGTCTCAGAATTTTTGTCCTATATACTTTTATGAAAGTATATAGGATTTTTTTTTCTGAGACAAGTGCCTGTGAGATATATACATGCATAAGTCCCAGACATATATAATTGTAAATCAAAATGATTTACATAATTACTGGGAAATAATATAATGTTTCAGTTATGTTGATGTCACAAATACACATGAATTATTTGATGATGCATGCTGGAATTTCTTATCTAACTGCATGACGGTGACCACAGACATATATATATATATATCCATTTACTGATTCTATAATTTCTTGAGAAAAAAATTCAAGAGGGAAGTCCGAGGGAAGTGAAACAAACATTTTAAGCTTTATTAAAAATTGTTGGGAAAACAATAAAATACGACACTGAGTTTTGAAAGAAAAGTTTATGATTGGTCTTAATTTTTTTTTTTTAATAAAGATAGAAACAATTTTTTGTCCCAAGAAAAAAAAACAATGCCCCCTTTTTAGCCAAACCGACACACGCCGATGAATGAAGAATTCCAAGTAGGGTCACAGGGTCACATTTTAAAACTTTTTCAGTCGCCCAGTCTCAAAAAGCAATTATGACTGGCATTGTTTTTAGTCGAATTATGTTTTTGCAGGTCAGGTTGCAAAGTGGCAGGTCGGATTTGACAATGTTGACAACGGTCCTAAAAAATATCCGAAAAAACGTTGAATCAAACGATATGAACCTACGCAGTTTTATATTATAAGACTGACACACACCAGTGTGCTAACTGTGCTGGGTGAGGTGCTGTAACTTGATATACATGTATCATTAAGTTACAGTACTGTTAGGATTTGCCTGCCTTTTTACAGGTACTTTCTATACTAACTGTTAGTATAGACTGCCCCTGGCTTGAAAGTATGGTTCTCTGCTCATCAACGGGTGCGTGATTAGCAAATCAAATATCTTGTAGCAGTAAAATACCTCCGGGGGGGGGGGGGGGAGGGGCACTTCAATACTTAATTGATAGGGGGTGTCGCTGGGGTTCTGTTACCCCACCCTATTCATATAATTCAGATCTTAAAAATGTATACCTTTTCATATATTGCGTGGGTAAAATTGTAACCTTTTCCCATATTGGTTGGTTTTCGTGGGGTGTGTTGGAAAAGTGGAATATTTAAGGCTAAGATTCTGTATGTAGCGTTTACTTACGGCGAGACTTTCGGCTGTAAAAAATGACAGGGCTTTTCATATATAAGTAATTGGAACTTTATCGACCTTATCATATATTTCTAATAGTTTTCCCCTCCTATTCCCATATTTTCAAGCTGGACAAAGTGACCTATTCCAGCGGCACGTCCTATCACCTTGTATATAGGAAGTGCCCCCCCCCCCCCTCCCGAGTAAAATACACAAATGTATAATACCTTAATTCCAATATCAGGAGCACAGTCTGTCTTTACCGTAAATAGCTTCGAGATTAATATGTAAGTTTACTTTGCTAATCGATGTTCCTGTAATTCAGATTTAAATTTATTTGTGAGACCCCCGTCACTATTTATATTCACTCAAAGAAAGGGGTTCTCCGTTACTGGGAAAATCCAAGGACGTATTGTGTTAGTTGTCCTTGGAAAATCTTATCTGATTTAGGATCAATTTATCGGTTACACTCCCCTATCACCAGTGATTCTTTGTGAACTGACATTCTGAAAAAGGTATACTGTTGACAGAGACATATAATACAATTGTATTATATGTCTCTGATATAATACAAGAGATTCGCAACTCTAGTAGAGTCTATATAACAGCCAATGAAATGACGTGGCCACCGGAAAGCCGATTAATCCGATGGATTTATGGGTAATAACCCGTATTGTTGTATAAAAGGTTTACGCCTCACGATTTTTCTAATGGATAATGCCGATACCTTTCACAGCTAAAGCATGCAAGTATATTTAAAAGTTACAAAAAACTAATTCTAATAATTTGTTATTGATAAAATGTGTTCTAATGATGAGATTAATCAAATACAAACAAAGTTAAAACTCGGCCCATTTTACTTCACCTATTGCCGTAGAAACCATTTGATCTCCCAATTTTTTTTCTTAAAACTTGAAAATATGCTAATAAATATATAATTTTATGGGCCAATAGTACTCCCAAATGTTGTTTCGTGACTGAAAATAAGACTATTTTCGTAAAATTTGAACCAACAATGTGGCGATTTTTTCTGATTGATACCCGAAATTTTTTATTTAACTGGCTAAATATTGAAATTGTTCATGGACAAATTTCCTTAAATCAGTCCTTCTTTTTTGTGCACTAAGAAATTTATAGCCTGCATTTTGTTAGACATTTTATTCATTTTTCATTCTGTTTATAGCAAAGTTGTTTATTTTCTCCTATTCTGAAGTCATTGTTTTTTTCTTCTTTTTAGGGTGCCAAAGATGAACGAATGCAGTAAATTTACAAAAGGAGTAAAATTTTCCTAGTAAAGGAAACCTTCTGCTGGTCGTAATATTATGAATGAGCTTCATATGCATCTGCTGTCGTTTCAGACTACGCTTCTCGTTCAAAACATGAACCTAATTCATTTTAAAATTAAAATCGTATTGAGGACATTTCAATGGTGACTGCAAAAGATATATATATGTTTGTGGTATATCATCTTTTCCACAAGTTTATTGTTTTCTGTTTGGTATTTAATTAATATTAAGATCCATTTTGTTAGATCTGGTGATCAATTTATTTGGCAATCGCCAATGGCAGTCAGCAGGGTTTAAGAACATCAGTTGTTCGACCTGTTAGTCAAATGCGTTTTGTTAAAATAGACTTTTTCACTTTTTTTGGTCTTTTGGAAATTGTTGTTTGTGCTGTATTTAGACCCCTCTACCAAGAAATTTGTTTTACATGCACACGTATAAAAATTGCGGTTTTTATCCAACGCAATCATAGGTTTGAACGTTGTTTTCAATTTAGACTTTTATATATATATATATATATATATATATATATATATATATATATATATATATATATATTTGATAATAAAAGATTTTATTTACACCAAGGATTTGTATATGTATACACATAAACAATCTTACTTTTAAATTGCCATCTCTTTACCCCAGAATAAAAAGACAAAAACCGCTACAAATGATTAAAAGACAAAAACCACTACAAATGATTGTCTCGTGGAAACAAGGTTATAAAATACTTTTTAAATATTGTCTTCCGTGCTGCTTTGATGTATGACCTGTGTTTTTTTATGGATTTTTTGTTGCTTCGAGGACACACATATCCATCTATGTATGCAGTATTGTCAATTGTTTTTGTTGGTGGGTCTCTCGCTTATGTTTTCGTCCTTTTCACTATCAACAAAGAGTTCGTTATCAGTTTATTCAACTAGGAGTATATCTAAGTCGTAACTATTAAGATTGTCATCCCACGAAATTAAGATTGTCATCCCACGAAATAAAATCGGAATTTTCCATATTGCTTGCACATGAATGAAGCTTTATTCAAATGAGAAATTAATTGTAATTTTCTTAAATATTAATTCTCAATACACACTTCGAACATGAAGAAACCATAAATTTACCGACAATCATTTAAAAAAACAACTCAATGCAAGCTTATATGATAAAAATGTCAAACAACACTTAGAAATCAAACATTTACCGACAATCCTACAGAAAAAAAACTCAATGAAAGCCACATAAATGAGGAATATAAAAATAAATAAAATTTTAATAATTTATAAATATCAAGAATAAAAAACAAAGCCTATCATGATTAACAATTAATTAACAAATAAATTAAGTTTTTTTCCATATTAATTAATTATACATTTTGTGAATTGTATTTTTGGAAAGAGTGTGGACACCTGTGGTGTGACAACTTCTTGTTTACAAGGTGTCAATTAAAACTCATTATTTATAACATGTTCGTGATTTACCTGGTCATCGAATAATTCAAACCTAATATACATGTCACACTGTGAAATTATGTCTCCGAGACAGGTGTATATTCAATAGAAACCCATTATGTAACTATCAAATAAAATGAACTCTGACACAATTTATCAAGTGTTAATTATTTAATATCAGGTTTTTTTTATACAATATCAAATTATGTCTCTTTTTCAATAATACAAATCTAAAATCAAAATTACATTAAAATAAATAATTATATATGTACTCAAATTATATTTAATTAATTATGATAAATTTAACACTGAAACAGTTTATGTTATGCTTAAACATTCGTCCTTACTTCGAGTACTTTTAATACTTTTATTAATGACTTTATTACCTAAGGAGATCTCGCGAGGTTTAACTAGTGGCCGCGTGTTATTACGGGATTTCGCCGAGTTGCGAATCTCTTGTATTATATGTCTCTGATTATATGTCTCTGCTGTTGACTATCAATTTGCATGATTAGTTAAAGATGTCGACTCGGACTACTGCAAAAGACAATAATTCAGTTCACTGATTTAGATTGAATAGTGGTTCGGTAACGTAATCCCCTCTTCCCCAAACAAGTAAGAATTAGGTTACATCTTTTGGTAGTCCAAATAATTATGACGTCTAGCAAGGCTATTTTTTTTATGGCCCCGCCGTAGCGGTGGGGGCATTAAGTTTTACCCTTGTACGTCCGTACGTCCCAAAATTGGTTTCCGTTCTCGAACTTGAGTTTGCCTCAACCAAATGTTAAAGTAAAAACTTATACACAATGCTTATTACCACAAAACACATCAAGTTTGAATTTTGGTGGCGTCACTTTAACCGTTCTAGAGTTATGCCCCTTTATAAATGGAAAAATTGCAAAATTTTTAGTTTCCGTTCTCTAACTTAAGTTTGCCTCAACCAAATGTTATAAAACTTATACACAATGCTTATTACCACAAAACACAGATCAAGTTTGAATTTTGGTGGCGTCACTTTAACCGTTCTAGAGTTATGCCCCTTTATAAATGGAAAAATTACAAAATTTTTAATTTCTTCTAAATATCAAGTAATTTTTAAAATTCAGGAATTATCTTCCTTTGTCCATTATTATAGTTGAATCAACTACAATCAATGCTTTATACAATGCAATGTTTAATTTTGACTTCCACTGATAAAACACAGATCAAGATGAATTTGGGTAGTGTCACTTTAACCATTATTGAGTTATGCCCCTTTATAAATTGAAAGATTGCAAATTTTTAGTTTCCATTCTGTAACTTAAGTTTGCCCCAACCAAACATTATGAAACCTATACCCAATATTCATTACCACAAAACTAAGATCAAGTACAAATTTTTTGTTTCCGTTTTCTAACTTTAGTTTGCCTCAACCAAATGTTATGAAACTTATACACAATGCTTATTACTACATAATACAGATTAAGTAAGAAATTTGGTGGCGACACTTTTACCATTCTTGAGTAATGTCCCTTTATAAACATAAAAAATGCTGAATTTTTCGTTTCCGTTCTCTAACTTTAGTTTGTCTCAACCAAATGTTATAAAACTTATACACAACCGTTCTAGAGTTATGCGTGTTTACAAATAGAAAAATTGCTGAATTTTTAGTTTCTGTTCTCTACTTAAGTTAGCCTCAACCAAATGTTATGAGACTTACACACAATGCTTAGTTATTACCACAAAACTCAGATCAAGTTCAAATTTGGGTAGCGTCACTTTTACCGTTCTTCAGTTATGTCCCTTTATAATTTTTCTATCTATCTATCTTCATATTTCCGCACTCAGTCACAACTTTGACTATTACGTGCCCAGAAAAAAGTTAAAATAGCCTTGCAAGACGTCATAATTATTTGGACTAATCTTTTGGCAAATATGGTTGTACCACAGGGGTTTGTTACAATTTGCCAGGTTTTCTATCCTTACGAACCCTGAAAAACTAATCATGGCCAGGTGATAAAAAAAATCTGTCTCCCCTTTTTATCCCTCCAGAAAATCAAAAGGTTGTCTCCTTACACCTACATGACAAAAACATATACAAATATGGTATCATTGCCAATGTGACGGCTCTTCAACAGAAACTAAAAACGTAGAAGTTAACAACTATATAGGTCACGGTACAGATTTCAACAATGGGCTAAAAAGCCAAACTGCGTAATAAGCTACAAAAGGCTAAAATAGATAGACAATATCTGACAAGGGTAGAAATGTTCAGAATGTTGAAAAAAAAATTTACTGTCCATTTGCATCAAAACTGGCAGCTGACTCATAGGAGTTGTTGCCTTAAATACAGATTTTAACCATTTTTTTTCCTTCATATTTCTTGAATTTGCCTTTTTATCTCGAAAACTGTAATAATTAAAGAGAAACTTAAATCTTATTAAAAAGTTATTGCTTTTCAATGATGATTTTGATCCAGTTTTTGCAAAAACTTGGAAACTTTAAATCTTGGGTAAACTCCTTATATTATACTGCCTGGTCTCGTGGTAGCGTGTTCACCTCACGTGCAGAAGGTTGTTTATTTTTAACCCAACCGGGTAAAACCAAAGACTTTAAAGTTGGTATTTGCTGCTTCTCGCCTAAGCAGGCAGTATTATTAAGGAGTAAGAGCAAATACTGGTTTGTTCAGAGTCAGAATAATGTGTCAAGGTAAGGTGACATGTCTCTCTGAGAACTAGTGTAAGAGATAAATTGTCTGGTCAGACAAATATAACTAGTATAAAAAGTCCATGGATACAGAATTTACTAGTATATTTAGTCCGATGTCAGTAATTTATGTCCCCAGACTAATTTTCCTAGTCCATGACATCACTATTCCTAGGTAAAAATGTCCAGTTTTTCTAATACTGTATGCAACATGTCAAGTATATTTGGTGTATGAAAATTTTTAAGGATGAACATGTTAGTCTGGCATGTTTTATTCGACCTTGACCTCATTTTTATGGTTCATTGCTCAATGTTATTTTTTTGTTTTTTGGTCAGTTTTTCTATTTTCTTATTTTCAAATTAGCAAAAGGTCAACTATATTTGGTGTATGGAATGATTGTAAGGTGCATATGTCTGACTCAGAAGTTTCATCTTACCTTGACTTCATTTTCATAGTAAATTGGACAATGTTTAGTTTTCGTGGTTTTTTTCGGATACTGTAAGCAATAACATGAATAAGGCCCCTTTATTTGGTGAATGGAATGATTATGAGATGCACATGTCTGTCTGGCATGTTTTATATGACCTTGACCTCATTTTCATGGTTCATTGGTCAATGAAAAGTTTGCATTGTTTTGTCAGTTTATCATATGCTTTAAGCAACAGGTAAATTATATTTGGCGGATGTAACGATTGTAAGGTGTGCATGTCTGTCTGGCAGATTCATATAACCATGATCGCATTTTATGGTTCTTTGGTCAATGCTAAGTTTTCTTGGTTTTTTATACGACCGCAAAAAATTGGTATGACGTTGGCGTTGTCGTCGTCATAAGACACATTGGTTTTCGCACTCTAACTTTAGTTTAAGTGAATGGATCTCTATGAAATTTTACCATAAGGATTGTTTTTGAGGTTATGGTACCAACAGTGAAGGAATTAGGGGCCAAAAAGGGGCCAAAAATAAGCATTTTTGTAACTTCCAGACATAACTTGTGTGTTAGTGTATGGATCTCTCTGACATTGTACCACAAGGTTCCATATCACAAAGGGAATGCTGGGATTGATTTTGGGGGTAATTGCCTCAAAATATTAGGAATTAGGGGCAAAAATAGGGGCAAAAAACAAGCATTTTTCTAGTTTCATGACAATAACTTGTGTGTAAGTGTATGGATCTTTCTGAAATTGTACTACAAGGTTCCATATCACAAAGGGAAAGCTGGAATTGAGTTTGGTGGTAATTGCCGAAAACGTTTAGGAATAAGGGGCCAAAAAGGGGCCAAAAATAAGAATTTTTCTAGTTTTCAGACAATAACTTGTGTTCAAGTGTAAGGATCTCTCTGAAATTGTACTGCAAGGTACCATACCACATAGGGAAGGCTGGGATTGATTTTGGGGGCAATTGCTTTAAAATTTTAGGAATAAGGGGCCAAAAAATGGGCAAAAAACAAGCAATTTTCTAGTTTCATGACAATAACTTGTGTGTAAGTGTATGGATCTTTCTGAAATTGTACTACAAGGTTCCATATCACAAAGGGAAAGCTGGAATTGAGTTTGGGCGTAATTGCCCAAAATGTTTAGGAAAAAGGGGCCAAAAATAAGCATTTTTCTAGTTTCCAGACAATAAGTTGTGTTCAAGTGTATGGATCTCTCTGAAATTGTTCTGCAAGGTACCATACCACAAAGGGAAGGCTGGGATTGATTTTTGGGGTAATTGCCTCAAAATTTTAGGAATAAGGGGCCAAAAAAGGGGCAAAAAACAAGCATTTTTCTAGTTTCAGGACAATAACTTGTGTGTAAGTGTATGGATCTTTATGAAATTGTACTACAAGGTTCCATATCACAAAGGGAAAGCTGGGTTTGATTTTGGGGGTAATTGCCCTAAACGTTTAGGAATTTGGGGCCAAAAAAACAAGCATTTTTCTAGTTTCCAGACAATAACTTGTGTATAAGTGTATGGATCTCTCTGAAATTGTACTGCAAGGTACCATACCACAAAGGGAAGGCTGGGATTGAGTTTGGGATGATGAATCATAAGGGGGTTCAAAAAATTGAGGGGGGGTCGTATCAAGCTGCGCCCAGCATTTTATTCATTTTATCAGATATTATAAGCATATGTCTACTTGTTGGTGTATGGAATGACTGCAAGGTGTCATATAAAAATAAGAAGATGTCTGTCTGCCAAGTTTAATATTACTGTGACCTCATTTTCATAGAATATTGGGAGTTCCTGTCAATATAATACTTCCATGATAATATCAAGCAAAAATGATGAGCAAGACAAGATACAAATGATCCAAAATTGTCAGTTGCCTACTCATTATGTAATAGTAGTTATTGTCATTAAATGATAATGTTTACCCTTTTATGTGTAGGGCAAGAACATTAAAGATAAAGGGAAACTATAAACAAAAGAAATTATCAACAAGAATAGATTTACAGACGTCAACAAAGCCTAAATGGTAAGTCCACTTCTATAAAAGTTATTGCCCTTGAATAATGATTATTATGAAAATAAGATGTGGTATGATAAATGAGAAAACTATCCACCAGAGTTCAATTAAGTGGATGTAAGCAATGCAATTACTTATTAGAGGCCAATGATGACCTGTTAATAATGACAGGCAAAATATGGCAGGGTTGATATAAAAATAAGAAGCGTTACGATTGCCATTGAGACTTTTCTCCAATAGAGATCAAATGACATTAAATTTAACAAAATTAGTTCACTGTACAGCCTTCGACAATGAGCAAACCCTATACTGCATAGTAATCCATAAAAGGCCATGAAAAAACAAATGTAGAACAATTCAATAAGGGCATGGCGTCATTTAAAAAGGGCATGGTGTCTATCCATGCTAAACATGCTTGGGGGAAACACCACAAAGGTGAAAGCTAAGTGCCTGATTTTTGCACAAAACAATAAACAAAAAACAAATATGATATATAGCAACAATGGACAACCACTGAATAATAGACCCCTGACTTGGGACAGACACTTACAAAATGTGGCATAGTTTAACATGTCGCTGGCGCCAAATCCTGCTCTAATTAAGGACATTGGTGTAAGTGTCAGTTCAATATAAAAACTATAAAATCAGTTGAAAAGGGTTATTTTCTGCTCTTGGGTCAGGTTATTTTGATACATTCCCGTTTTCATTCTCAATTTTATTAACTCATTAGAATGCAACAAAGCAGAAAAACAGCTACCAAAAACACAGACCGGATGTGGCTGGAAATTTATTCTTTCCCTTTAACAAAAAAGACTCAACATACAGATCTATTAGTACTCACAGTTACTGACAGCTAATTCAAAGCAAATATCAACTAATAAAATAAACATTTAGTGAGCACCCAACCCACCCCTAACCTGGGACAGTGGTTTTAATAACAGCACAACATTTGAACAAACTGTAAACATTTGTTGCAATTGGCTTAACTCAAAAGACTGTAACAAGGCACAAAAAACAACTAATATGAAAACCATAGACACAAAGCACTGAAATAAGAGTTCTTACAATTTTAAATATTCAAATGAAATTTTTATCAAAATGTACATAAACATGATAAAATAGCCATTTTATTGCTGTATTTCTCTTCATTTATAATTTTTGAGTTTTGTGTATTTGTAGGTCAGACATCTTGGTTTTCATGATCATCATTCAACAGGTCAATACTGAACAGCAAACTTAAAGTTGATATTTTTCTACATAGTGTGACTTTTTTATTAATTTGAAATGGAATGTGTTTTTTTTCCTACATAAGAAAGAGGAAATTTCAACATAATGACTATAAACAAAAAGGAGTCATATCATCATGATCATAGATGCTCAAGAACTTAATCATGTAAATGCAACAATGTAATTATCAATTGAAAGAAGGGAGGAATGAAAAAATATATTAGTATTTTGTTGTCCAAATGAACTTGCTTTGTCCACTCATTTAAATCGCTCCATCCAATAAAGATGTACGGAGGAAGATTTTTGAAGAACAGATTGCAAAAATGTTTTGTTTAAGAATTGTAGGAATATTCTAGTGGATGAAATAATTTATTTACTTGACTCTTATATAGTGGACTGAATAATTGTTCATAGCAAGCTGAAACAAGAAAACTAAAACTTAACAGGAAAAGTGTTTATTTTATAAATTTACAAATATAAATGTAATATTATGAACACCACATAGGAATAAGATTCAAATCGTTTGCATATTCATGTATTGCAATGGAACTATAACAAAGAAAACTTTACCTCATGAAAAGAGTAAACTATTAACTGTGCTTTGTCAATTTATTCAGTCAGAATATGAAATATTTTTTTCAGTTCTATTTTTCATAATAAAACAAAGAAGACAAAGATTTCAAATCAATATTTTTTTCTTTTATTAAGACGTCATCATTTTATTTCAGTTAAAGGATTTTATTTTTTGACTTTAAATATTATTATATTTCCAAAATAATAATAATCTTTATTGTCATATAAACAAATTGAAAACATGTTTGTGACAAAATGAAAAAAAAACAAAATACACTCATATATATATTATAAACTTTTTACTACCAAACAGAATTCATTGTAACATACACATTACTGTATATTTATAATTTGAATTCCATAGGATTTTATTTTGTCCCATGGGATATTAAAAATCCCATGGGATAATTATAGTCCCATGGGATTTTTTTTTGTCCCATGGGACAACAAATATCCCATGGGACTACAGTTATCCCATGGGACCCAAAAAAATCCTATGGGATTTAACCAAAATCCCATGGGATAATGGTCAATCCCATGGGATTTGCCCTATCCCATGGGATATTGAAAATCCCATGTTTTTGTAAATCAAATTACAAAATATATATAATAATAACAGCAGAAAAGCAATGAAATTATTGAATCCCATGTAATTCCGCACATTTTGGTTATTTACACGACACTGTAGGTCTAAGGAGAGGCGGCGGCGGATTTGCAAATGAGTGTTTTGCAAATTAAAAGTGTCCAGTGTTTATTGTTGTTGTTTTTTGGATGGACTGACTGTATTAGGGGATGGGTAGGTATTTTTGTTGTTTTTGGGATGGATTGACCGTATTAGGGGATGGGTAGGTATTGTTGTTGTTTTTGGGATGGATTGACCGTATTAGGGGATGGGTAGGTATTGTTGTTATTTTCGGGATGGGTTGACCGTATTAGGGGATGGGTAGGCATTGTTGTTATTTTCGGGATGGATTGACCGTATTATGGGATGGGTAGGTATTGTTGTTATTTTCGGGATGGGTTGGCGGTATTAGGGGATGGGTAGGCATTGTTGTTATTTTCGGGATGGATTGACCGTATTAGGGGATGGGTAGGTATTGTTGTTATTTTCGGGATGGGTTGACCGTATTAGGGGATGGGTAGGCATTGTTGTTATTTTCGGGATGGATTGACCGTTTTAGGGGATTGGTAGGTATCGTTGTTGTTTTCGGGATGGATTGACCGTATTAGGGGATGGGTAGGTATTATTGTTGTTTTTGCTTTCATGGGATTTTCTATTTCAAAGAATTGATCAGGTGTTATATATGAAAATAAGCAGATTTTAATTTATCATCCATCATGTGACTCACATTTTGAGTTCTATTGTCTCATTGAGGTTCTGTACGGGCGAATATTCATTCCTACATTCTTAAATTTTAGGCCAATTTTCTCTTTTCTTTTTTTCTCCATTATTCTCTATTCTTTATATTTTAGCACCCAATTATTCTCTATTCTTTCTATTTTTTGGTTTAATTTCTTCATTCTATATTTGTTTGCCTTTTTTTCTATTTTTGGCCCATTAAGCTGTATTCTGTAAACCCCATCCAGACCATCATAAATAGTCAGCGTTGTCCATTCCTTTTAGGCTGATTTATTTGAAAGAAAAAAAAATACAACAAAAATACTGATCACTAAGGCAAATTCCAAAAGGGGAAGTCCATAAAAACTGACAAAATCAAACGCTATCAATCAACGGAACAAGTGAAAAACAACTGCCATATTTCTGACTTGGTAGAGACATTTTCCGAAGAAAATGGTGGGTTAAACATTGTTTTATAGATATAAGGAAGATGTGGTATTAGTGCCAATGAGACAACTCTCCATCCAAGTCAAAATTTATAAAAGTAAACCATTATAGGTCAAAGTACGGTCTTCAACACGGAGCCTTGGCTCACACCGAACAGCAAGCTATAAGGGCCCCAAAAATGACTAGTGTAAAACCATTCAAACTGGAAAACCAACGGTCTAACCTATATAAAAAACGAGAACCAAGAAACACTTATGAACCACATCAACAAACGACAACTACTGAACATCAGATTCCTGACTATAGCTAGATAAACCTCTCACTTGTATGAATCCATATTTGATTCAACGTTCTTCAGTCTTAGAGTATTATGTTAACAAATGGTCAAATTAAAGCCTGACATATATGAATTTCATACGTTCATGAAAAAGAATTGTAGAAGAAACTGATGCAATTTAACAGTTGTTGAATGGTCAGTGGTATTGTAAGTTTTTTTTTTTAATTTCGATTTTGTGTTGATTTTATTTTTCGTGTGTGTGTTTGTTTTTTTAATTTTTTTATTTTATTGGGGGGGTGGAAGGGGAGGGTGGGCTTGTTCTGCCTAATGCGCACTTTTGAACATCTTTCGTCAGGCAGGAACGACCAGAGCAAAGCCTTTGCTTGTATCCATGCTGCCAAGCATAGGAAACACTGCCTTACCAAATGTTGACTCGATAAAAAGATTAGACCAGGCAATCTACATATGACCAAAAGATTGATTGATTGATTGGTGTTTAACGCCACTTTCAACACTATCGTGCTATTTCGTGGCGGTCAGTTTTTATTGGAGGAGGAAGCCGGAGTGTCCGGAGAGAACCACCGACCTTCGGTAGGAAAACTGACAATCCTAGTCAATTAAGATTGGAGTCGAGTGTGCCCCGTGCGGGATTCGAACTCAAAACCTCAGTGTTAACTGGCTAGTGATACAGTAGTTGGACTACTTAGACCACTTGGCCACCGAGGCCCCTATGACCAAAAGAAGATGTGGGTATACGTCTATAGAAAAGAATTGACTAGCAAGCATATATGAGAAAAGAAAATACAAAAATACAAAATGGTACTCGCTTGTTTATTACTCATCAAAGTAGATTTATCCTCTCGTTTTGAAATTATATTGTGCAACTTTTTCATATAACAAAAAATAAAATTATTATCTGAAATTGTGGAGAAAAAAATCGAATATTTACGATTATTTTTTGTAATTTGAAATTTGATGTGTTTGATCCCTTGTTTTTTTTATGGATATAATTACCGCTAATTTTCCATTTTCGTTTTGATTTTTTTAATTCTGTGTTATAAGAAACTGCACTTTATAATACATTTTATTAATAGCTTTAACACTTACTAAATATACCTGCATATCGATACTTTTGACTAGCTATATATATAGTGACGCATACATGTATTTGCATAAAATACAGTATAGCTTTTCGTGTTTTTATCGTTGATATGATTATCTGAATTAATCTGTTAAAAATTGGAAAAAGTAATTGTATCTTGTTATTTTCAAATACAGAAATAATTGATGATCATTGATACAGATCACACTTTTTTTCAAAGAAATAAAATTGAGAATGGAAATGGGGAATGTGTCAAAGAGACAACAACCCGACCATAGAACAGACAACAGCAGAAGGTCACCAACAGGTCTTCAATGCAGCGAGAAATTCCCGCACCCGGAGGCGTCCTTCAGCTGGCCCCTAAACAAAAAAGACTATGTGAATTTTGCATTCAGTAGAGGGAGATTATGTGAAAATGAACACCCCAAATAACAAGATGATATGGCAAATATCTAAATTTTGATGATGTAAAATGTCTGCAATTTTTCAATTTATTCTTTTACTTCTATTTAAACACAAATGATTTATCTAAAATTACAATTTCCTATTAAATTATGTATAACAAAAATAGTATAATAATTCTTCGTTAAAACGAAAACTGGTATCCAAAATCTTCGAATTAGACGAACCAGCAGCTTCACGGAATTCTGTTCGGCGTTGTCTTCTTGGTTTCATGATCCTTTAAAGAGCAACAAAATTTAAGAAAAATTGTTAAACACAAAAACATTTTAAAAAACCAAAGTATCATATTGCACTCATTCTTTGATTGTAAACATAATATGCTATCGTAAAATTTATTAACTAATATCTTTTGGTTCAGTTCATTGAAAAATTAAAAATTGCGGACAATTTAAACATAATCTTTAGAAGTTAAGAAAGTTTAAACAGATCGATTTCAGAAATCAAAAGTTGCGGTGAAAATTACAATATTGTGTTTGGTAAACGAGTTTTATGTATTATTATAGCTTATGTCTGACCGTATGGTAAATAATAGTCTATTAAGGACAATTGCTATTATCTAGTTCATGATACAATAGACGTTGACAAAGCGAACGCACCCCAGCTAATCACCTTTTGAACCATTAAACTAAGGGTTACACCATAAATTCCAACGAACGCTACTTAAACGATCGGACAGCGTATATTTAGTTTGGAATAACCCTTCAATCATTAAAGTCTAATCTCAATAATTTTCTTAAACTTTCCCAAACAAACTAATCAGTAATGATTTAAGTTTAACGACGTTATTTAGAATAATTATGAAGCCATTAAAAGCAATGTAATTCTCTTTCTTTAGTTTCGAGGCTATCTTTACTAGTGTCTTTGTACAATGAGGCATTCTTGTGGCGAAGAACATTGATTAAGCTAGTAAACAATATTTTAATGTTTTAAAATACCAAAATGTAATGTCATAGGAACTTGGTGGGAATACTTTTAACTTTATTTTTTTTGTGTTTTAAAAAAGAAATATTGAATAAAACCATGGAATGTCACATTATAAAAAAGAGAGAAAACAAAAAGAACACGGACGGCTTTTTTCCCTTACTTTATTTTTATTTTTCCTTCTTGATAGTTGTAATATTTTCTTTTTTTTTTCTTTTGTAAATTAGTCAGTTGGTTTACTATTACTTATTCTAGTACCGTCCAGGAATTTTATTAATGTAATTCCACTGCAAAGTTTTCGAAATTAATGAAGGATTTCAGTACTAGTATTATAGAAATTCAATATAATTTAAATAAGGATATTATCATTGTTATTATTATTATAAATATTATGTTATTTATATGTTCAATTTGACCACTGATATTACGACGCAAGGATTATGGTGCAACTTGTCAATATTCATTTGACTAATAATAACAATAATGCCAAAATAAATGTGAATAATAATAATAATACTAATGATAATAATGATGTATGAATCCCAATTTTAACGATACTAATATTCACAAATCTAACAAGATTAAGTTAGAACGTGTCTTACACAATTGACATTGTTATTCAAAATTTGTTTTGAAGTACAGTTCCTGATACTAGAGTCTACGAGGAGGAAACGACTAAATTATATATAGTATTATGGATGAAAAATTGCACGCTTTTCTATACCATTCTATATAGAACTGTTTCTCGTGGAGTCACATTTTTTCTGCAATACCAATATAAATTGAAACTTTTTTCGGGTCTGATTTTAATTGCTCGTGTTTCAAATTATATCTTATTAAATGCTTTTCATTTACCCCAGCATAAACTAGACGAGGATTGAATATTAACGGCAAAACTTATTCAACCTATTCCATGACCAGAATATGTCACTAATTGTAGCTGTCTTTTAATTTAAATATTTGATGTTGATGCCCTTGTCTTCGGTTGCCTATACTCGGACGTTTTATATTTTTGAATAAAGCTTCCAAGCTTCAGGTCAAATATTGCATTTGATGATGATATTGTTATTTTGATCGAGATTATTACAATTACAATTCACTAATGCCAAAAAGTGCAAGTTCTATAAGGTTAGTACTCTGTGTCTTTTTTTTTCTTTTTAGTTGTTTAAGTGTTTACTACCGAACTGATTAGTCCTTCCAGT